CCCATATGAATCTTATTTGCAGCCGCTGTATAATAGTAGCTTATATGCTTCTGGAGTTTGTTGTGGTTGTATCAGAACTCTTGATGGATTGGAATCAAATAATTTCTTCGGTTCAACCAGTATTTTAAATACTATGATTAGTTTTGAAATTTAAAGTCTCAAAGGAAGTTGATTAATTAGTTTTGAGATCTAATCAAGCAAAACTTTGCATTTTTAATTACTACTGAAATGATAAATTAAATTAAAATGTGCGTAATTTCAGGTTCTCAAACTACATACATGAATTATGTGTGCATGCATGTAGACATTATATAAACTCATAAGTTGTAAATTTGTTCTGCTAGTACACAGAATGCAATAACTGACATCAAATCATGTAGGTCAAAATGTTAATACAAACAACGAACAATATAGTGTTTATGCTGTTGGTATGCATCAAGCGGAAAACCATTCAAAACCAATGATGCGCAGTGATGAATTAACTTCTGACACAAGTCACCTTACAGGACATGAGTTATCTTCATATTTTCACTACACATCAGTGTTCATGAGTGATAGTCCCACTTCCTACATGCCAACAATATAAATTTTATAGTTTCTATCCATGGTTATAATAGATTACTTAAACCACTGATGGAACACATAATATACAGTCCAACCTCAATTATTAGCTCTTCAATTTTTCACTTTTTTTCAAAATACTTATCAAACTGCCTTTTATCACTTTTTACAAAATAAATTTTGCAAAATTTTTCCTTTTTGAATTGAGCAGGAAACTAAAAAGTTTGTTTAATAATTAACAAAGAAATTATAAAATGCATACAAAAGTATGACATGTTACACTCATATGTTGGAATAAAACATGCCATTCAATCAGTTCAATACCATCTGATCAATATTTTCAACTAATAATTGCGTCCAAATAATTGTGGTTTTACTGTAATTGTCATTATTATGTACTGGTAATGTATAAAGCATATCACATGCAGACTCACTGAACTTAGTGTTACCAACTGAAAAATACTGTACACAACATAGAACAAATATAGTTACCTGGGTTTGCCATTCTGAATATTAGTAAATTAAGACAGAAATTCAATTTTTAAAAGTCACAACCTTATCTTGTTGACTAATTAGGTGTTTGACCTAATTGACTCACACTTTCTACCAAGTAACTACAACTTTACAAAATTCATGCCAAGTTATACAATCACTACAATCCAATATAGTGTTTGGATGCTGAAATCCTTTCTCACCTTAATAACACATAAAGTGAAATGTCCCTAATACATTTAAACAATCCTTATAAATGAACTCAGCAAAGCGTTTTGTAGAAGAATCATGAAAAAAGCTGTTGAAATGATTGATAAGAAGAGAAAGAAGGCGCAAAGTGAATAGTCTGCAAGATATATATACATACTGAGACACTTCCATCCTCATAGTGCGAGAACAATGTATGTACACTGTAAATCACTTGATATTAAATACATATCTCAATATGACAGAAAGATAATAGAATTTTTTAAAACAGTACCTGGGTAATATAAATAACAATAATATAAGCTTAATGGAACTGAGAATGAAATTCATGTCAAAATTGATAAATGAAAATTACCAAATTTAATAGTTATTTAGCAGAAGCAGAAAATACTGATGTGAAGGAGCAAAGACGTGAATAAGATATAGCGCCCTCTATTGACAAAGGTCATATATTTCAGTATACTGAAAGGTAATTTTGAGTAGTAAGAAATAATCACTTATTGAACTCACCCTGCGAGGTGTAGTATTTATCTCATTTTGCTGTGCTTGTTGTTGAAACATACTTAGCCTACCGGCAACCCCACCAGAAGCAGCTATTCCTTCATTACGTTCCTTGAAACGAGAAAATCTACGCTGCTCCCCCTATGATAAAGTCAATAATAAACAATCACAGTCAATGACATTTTCATTTTGTCAAGTAAGACTTTCAATAAGTCCTATTAAAATTCTCACACACTGTATAATGTATTAAAGTTAGCACATCATCTGTTGAAAATCTCCATCAATATCCAAAATGAATAGGTAAAAATTGCATCAACAGGCATATGTCAACTATTTCTAAAAATGCAATAAATTTATTATTATCATTATATAGACGCGATACTCCTAATATAATTTTTTTAGTAAAAATAAAACAATATTTAGCTTGTTCTGTGAGTGTTATTCAACTAATTTGAAAAGTGGAAAAGCCACTTAAACCAATAGAAAGTAAATATTAAATGATGAGAGAGATAACTGCATTTACCTTAGATCCCTCCTGTTCTTGCTGAGTTCCCATTTTATCCATGAATCGTGTCACTCTGTAGGAAAGAGTAAACAAATCCTTAGTTCATATAATGAATTGTTGAGCTAAAAGTGCCAAAGCAAAATACATTGCTTACACCAAATAAAACCATGTTCTTTCTGATAACTGTTCTTTTATATCTTAATCCTAGATATGACATTTGCACAATAACAACCTGTTTGCTACTCACTTTTGGGTCTCAACACCAAGCCCAATCTTCTTCACACTGCTGAAAAATAGAAATATTAGTAAAAATTAGATTTTAACACAGACAAATTGTGAACCATAAGTTAACTATTAACAGCTTAGCATAGTGTGATCTTTTTTTTAAATCTTATCATGGATCTACTGCCCCAAAATGAACGTGTGGACACGAATATAATAGAATCACCTATAGAGGGCGCACTTAAATACACTTTCCTGACAGGATCAGGCAAGATTTATTAGTGAGGTAATGGACAAATGAACAGTCAGTGGAGGCCAAGAATAGAACAAATAAATTAAACTCACGCTTTCGCTGTAATCTCCTTCAGTCGCTGACTCAGTTCAGTAATCTAAATAAAAAACAACAACATTGGAATGAAGTTGATAAATACATTTATAAAATAAGAGTAAAGTTACCAGGGTATAAAAGTTGGCATTAAAGAGAAATCTGAAATTACCTTAAAGATTTAAATATGCAAGTTTTAAATTGGCACTGCAGACACTTGGACTAGTGAACACAACATAACATACAAAATAAAGTAAGGCTGAACTCACATCATACTGTTGTCTTTTATCACGTTGATTTAAATCATAAACATTGGTTAAAACCTGTCGGAGTTGCTCATTATATTCCATTGCCAGTTCTTGAAGTCTCTGAACTGAAGCATACTCAGTATTAAGGGCTGGCACTCTCTCCTTTAATACTCTCTCTTTCTCTCTCGCCTTTTCTTCAATTTCTTTAGATGATTCCTGTTTGGCTCGAGAAATATTAGCCTAAGAAAAAAAATTAACTGATTGATTTAATTTATATGTAAATTAACATAGCAACCCATGGTAACACTGATCTCAGAAATTTCATCACTTAATTTCTCTTTACGGATACAAAAGCAAGGTGCAGACAAAAGCTAATGTCAGTTTCACTCGAAACGTTGGTCAAAATTCTCAGAATTCTCAGTTGGTATATTGAATATATTTGAAAGAACAAAGATGATATAGTATGCTGTCTTAAACATCACTTTGTCAAGTGTAATACAACAATTAAGGTTGATCTGATTTGCATCCCTATTTCAATATAATAACAAATAATCGTGTCTCACCCTTATGTCCAGTTTCATAACAGGTTGTCTTCCTCCATTCATCATATGCCTACGCTTCTCTTTAGCTTCTTCTTTGCGTCGCTCCATATCTGCTCTACGTTTGGCAGCTTCTTCCTAAGGTGTGGAACAACATTATTAGGAAAGTACAGTCCATTGATGAATTTTTGTGGCAAGAAATTTATAATTTGAAAGTCTTTTACAAAAGTTGTTTCTGGTTCTGAGATGTTGAAAAAATTGTTGTGGTTGAGATGTTCTTCCTTCATGTTGACGAAACCTTGGCAGCAACCAGAAAATAAGTTGTGTCAGCGACACCTTTTGAATAATTGCACTTCCAGACCAGAAACAAACATTTTTATTTTTGGCCTTACATAGCCTAGATGTCCAATCTGCAACAAATTATTTTACGAATGAACTAGATATATCGTAAACTGTAAAATATTCGCTGCTAACAATTTTCCTGATTTTGATGAC